CTTCCAGTATCTCAGGGGCTGCCCCAAAGAAGAGGGAGTCAAGCTATTCTCCAAAGCGCCTGAAGGCAGGACAAGAAGCAACCGATGGAAACTCACCAAGGAGAGAAGCAACCTGGAACTAAGGAGAAACTTCCTGACAGTGAGAACAATTAACCAGTGGAACAGCTTGCCACCAGAAGCTGTGGATGCTTCAACAATGGAAGTTTTTAAGAAGAGACTGGACAGCCATTTGTCTGAAATGGTATAGGGTGTCCTGCCTGAGCAGGGGTTTGGACTAGATGACCTCCAAGGTCCCTTCCAACTTTATTATTGTTGTTGTTGTTGTTGTTATGGATCATCGCACAGTCAGCCAGCTGTTCAGACTGGATTTGGCACTTTTGTCTACCTATCGAGTCCTTACCCAGGACCTGGGATAGGCAGATGTGGATCGTGATGGAAGCAGTATCGTGGATGTTCCTGTAATTGTGTTCAAGTGGTGCCAAGTTGTTCAATTCCAAGGTGACGTACTATTGGTACTATTTCTGTTTGTAGGTCTTTGTATTTTGTTATCTTCTCCAGTTCTTTCTCTTCTATTCTGCTATCTCCAGGCACTGCCACGTCCACTATCCAGACTTTTTTGTCTTTCTTATCGACAATTGTTAAGTCTGGGGTGTTATGTTGCAGGTGCTTGTCTGTTTGAATTCTGAAGTCCTAGCAGCATTTTATCATTTTATGATCACCATGCCAATGGTATTTTTTGCAGATCTTCCAATGCACCATTGTTGCTACTTTGTCATGCCGCTGCTTGTAGTCAGTCTGTGCAATCTTCTTGCAGCAGCTTACCAGGTGGTCCACTGTTTCTTCAGCTTCTTTGCATAGGCGGCACTTACTGTCTGTTGCTGTCTTCTCAATTTTGACTTTATATTATTATTATTAATAATAATATAAAGTCAAAATTATATAATAATAATTATTATTATTATTATTATCTCGAGGCTTGCCAGATGTGGCTTGACCTGAGGATGCTGGGAACAACTTCAGGGAAGACGCCTTGCCAGGCCAGACCTGTTTCGAAGTGAGGAATGAGGGGAAAGGTTTGCCCCCCCCCTTTCCGAACCAAATTCCCCAACTGATTCCTTGCTGGCTGATGGTAGGATTCTAATCCACACCATCTGGCAGGAGGCAAGGTGTCCAGGTTAATCCCCATTCCTGGGGGGGGGGCTTTCTCTTCCTCTGGAGGCTTGTTTTAAGACTTGCACGGTGCAAAAAAAAGAGAGGGGAGGGTCCCTGACGCAACCCAAAGCTGTTGTTTCAACCGAGTTGGCTGGCTACAAAAGCCTTGGGGGGCTGCAGGTGGGGGAGGCAGTAGTGCTTTATTCCTCTCCAGGGAGAGGAAGGAGACAATCAGAATAAGGAAAAGAGACCACGTCAGAAAGGAAAGCAGGTGGCTTTTTAAAAATGAGGCAAGAGATAATTAGCACGGGCAAGGCCAGGAGGGCTCAAGGGGAAGAAAGCTCCTACCGCTTTACAAAGCCCTAGTAAGGCCACACCTGGAATACGGCAGCCAGTTTGGGTCACCCTGCCACAAAAAAAAGATGTTGAGAGTTTGGGGAAAAAAATCAGAGAAAAGCAACTAAGATGATCCAAGGCCTGGAGGCTAAAACATACGAAGAACGGCGGCGGGACTTGGGTTTGGCCAGTCTAGAGAAAAGAAGACATAGGGGAGACAGGATAGCCGTGTTCCAGTATCTGAGGGGCTGCCCCAAAGAAGAGGGGGTCGAACTATTCTCCAAAGCACCAGAGGGCAGGATGAGAAACAATGGTTGGAAACTGATCAAGGAGAGAAGCAACCTGGAATTCAGGAGAAATTTCCTGACAGTGAGGACAATTAACCAGTGGAACAGCTTGCCACCAGAAATCGTGGGCATCCCATCACTGGAGATTTTTAAGAAGAGACTGGACAGTCACTTGTCTGAGATGGTATAGGTTCTCCTGCTTGAGCAGGGCGCTGGACTAGAAGATCTCCAAGGTCATTCCAGCTCATTCCATTCCATTCCATATTTTCTATTCTATTCTATTCTATTCTATTCTATTCTATTCTATTCCTTAATTCTATCCTATTCTATTCTATTCTATTCTATTCTATTCTATTCTGTGCTGTGCTGTGCTGTGCTGTGCTGTGCTGTGCTGTGCTGTGCTATGCTATGCTATGCTATGCTATGCTACTCTATTCTAGAAGCAACAGTGAGGACAATTAACCAGTGGAACAGCTTGCCACCAGAAGTTGTGGGTGCTCCATCACGGGAGATTTTTAAGAAGAGACTGGACAGCCACTTGTCTGATATGGTATAGGTTCTCCTGCTTGAGCAGGGGCTGGACTAGAAGACCTCCAAGGTCCCTTCCAGCTCTATTCTATTCATCAAGGAGAGAACCAATCTGGAATCAGCCCCGGCTACAATTTCACTCCCCCCAAATCTCAGTTGCTCTTGCTTTCTATTGGCGCTTCACTCAAACCCAACGCTCCCGAAGTCGCTTTTTTTCCAAAAGGCAACTGGACTTTCTTGGTTCTTTTTCCTCGTCCATGTACAAGAAGCTTCTCATCCAAGAAGTTTCTTCATTTCAGAAGCTTCTTGGCCGAGAAGCAAAATGTTTTCAAAGGAAAAAAAAGAAACGAGTCCGGTTGCCTTTTTGGAAAAAGCACCGTTGGGGCAATCATGACCCAGATGATGGAGCATTTCCATTGAGGGGTGGGCAAAACTCTCCCAGACTCTCCCAGTAATTTGCACCTCAAGAATACTGGAGGGATTTTGAAGTCCTAGTGGACAACCAATTCAATATGAGCCAGCCGTGTGTGGCGGCAGCCAAAAAGGCCAATGCAATCCTAAATTGCATTAAGAGAAGGATTGAATAAAGATCATGTAAGGTAGTAATACCCCTGTAGAAAGCCTTAGTAAGGCCACACCTAGAATACTGCAACCTGTTTTGGCCTCCACACTATTAAAAAAGACGTTGAGACTCTAGGAAAAAGTGCAGAGAAGAGCAACAAAGATGATCAGGGGACCGGAGGCTAAAACATATGAAGGACGGCTGCAGGAACTGGGCACGGCTAGTCTAGCGAAGAGAAGGACCAGGGGAGACATGATAGTAGGGTTCCAATATCTGAGGGGCTGTCACAGAGAGGAGGGGGTCAGCCTATTCTCCAAAGCACCTGAAGGCCAGACAAGGAACAACGGATGGAAACTGATCAAGGAGAGATTCAATCTGGAAATAAGGAGGAATTTTCTGACAGTGAGACCGATCAATCAGTGGAACGGGAGTTGCCTTCAGAGGTTGTGGGAGCTTCATCCCTGGGGGCTTCCAAGAAGAGCCTGGACTGCCATCTGTCAGAAATGGTGGAGATCTCCTGCTTGGGTGAAGAGGGGGTTGGACTAGATGACCTACAAGGTGTCTTCCAACTCAGTTATTCTATTTCTAGTATTTCTATTATTTCTGGCTGAGGGATTCTGGGAGTTGATGTCCACAAGTCATGAAAGGGCCCATTCTGAAGACCCCTGAACTAAACATACTCAATTCCAGCAACCGTTCTCTTTCCAAGAAGTCATCAATGACCCCAAATTACCTTCTCATCTTTGACATTATCCTGGAATTACAGCAAGACCATAGAGAATGAATTCCGAAGAGGGTCGACAATGACGCTTCCAGTAACGGAGACCAAACAGAGCTGAAGTCTTCTCAGAAGGTTGGTCACACCTGGGGAAGGAGATGGAAACCAACCAATGGGGGACCTTCTGTAGCAGGAAGCAGTTGTAGCTTGGTTAGCTGCTGTCTCCCAGGGTGTCTCAGCTGAGACTTTACATCAGCTGCTCCCCCTGTGGAGGTCAGCAAACCCAACTTGGCCCATGACTAAGTCAATGTGAGGCCATCCTAGTCAACCGCAGCCATGAACCCCATTCAGTTGTGTATCTCCTCCCCAACCAAACCTCCCAGCTAAAATTTCACCATCCAGTCTCCATTTTAGAGGGTTTTAAAATACCTTTTAAGGCATTTATTTGATTTCTCGCTCAGCTGACTTGAAAGTCTCTCTTCCAGACCCCCAAGCAAAGATAACAGACTTCCGGAAGTTCCCAAGTCTATTTTCTTGCACTTTCCGTTTTAAAGGAACCGTCAACCTTTCCCTTTCTCTTCTCCTTCTCCTCCTTCTCCTCCTCTTCCACCATTTCTTCCTCTCCTCCTTCTCCTTCTCCTCCCTTTCCACCATTATTCCTCCTTCTCCTTCTCCCTTTCCACCATTATTCTTTCCTCTCTTCCTTCTCCTCCTCCTCCTCTTCCACTTTTCCTTCCTCTCCTCCTTCTCCTTCTCTTCTCCTTCTCCCTTTCCACCATTATTTCTTCTCCTTCTCCTTCTCCTCTCCTCCTTCTCCTCCCTTTCCACCATTATTCCTTCTCCTCCTTCTCCTCCTCCTCCTCCTCCTCTTCCACATTCCTTCCTCTCTTCCTCTCCTCCTTCTCCTCCTCCTCTTCCACCATTATTTCTCCTTCTTCTCCTTCTCCTCCTCCTTCTCTCCTCCTCCTCCCTTTCCACCATTCCTTCCTCTCCTCCTTCTCTTCTCTTTCTTCTCCCTTCCCACCTATTCCTTCTTCTCCTCCTTCTCCTCCTTCTCTTTTCTCCTCCTCCCTTTCCACCATTCCTTCCTCTCTCCTTCTCTTTGCCTCCTCCTCCTCCTCCTCCTCCTCCTCCTCCTCCTCCTCCTCCTCCTCCTCTTTCTTGCCTAAATCTCTCACCTTTCATTGCGAGGGCACCTAACGTGGAGGTCATTTCCATTAAGTGGCTTTATTATTGGTTAGATTTTATTTTTATTTTTATTTTTTACAAATTTTGATAGCGGAACCGACGTGTGTCACTTCTTCTGAGTTTCAGTTCTAAGACGTCAGAACGACCAAGTCAAAGGTTTAGGACTTAATTTAAAGTAGCAAAATTCATATTCACATTTTCACTTCTCTCTCCCCCGCCCCCACCCCCCCCCGCCCCTCCTTCCTGTAGTTTGCGTGGTCTCGGACGTGGTCATAAATATACAGAGAGAGAAAGGGGGAAGGAAAAAAAAAATAGGCCGGGGTTTAGGAGTAAAAGAAATGGACAGTAAATAAGGCACGTGGCAGTCTCTGAAAAAGAAAAAATATCACACAAGCTTTAGCCAACTTAAATTAATTGCCATTTCCCTGGCCCAAATCCATAAAACTGTACACGGACACAAATGTTGTGTGGGCAGTGGTCATTCCAAGTCAGCCCTCCAATCCACGGGGGGGGGCCTTTCGGACCTCGCCCGGCGGTGGAGCTGTAGCCCAGCGGTGTCCCAAGTTGAAAAAGAAAAAAAAAAATCCATTTGGAGTTGGACTAAGAATCGTTTCTTTCCTTAAAAAGGTAAGACACACAGAGACGCGCGCACGCCGCCCCTGGAGCCGTGGCGGGGTTCATCAGAAGAGGTTGGTCAGTGTGGTCTGTGAAGGGCTGCGGGATTCGTGGACGTCCAAGCTGCCGGACACGGAGCCCAAGACCGAAGTCACGGAGGGCATGCTAGGGTTCGTCAAGTCTGTTAAGGTGGTGGGGGTCCGGGAGGGGCTTAGGGAGGTATTGGAGATCTCCGATGCCGGTCCGGATGGGGTGCCGGCCTGGAGGGCCGAATCGGACGCCTTGTCCACTCCCGTGTTCTCCTGGCGTAAGAGGTTCCGTCGGAATTTGGCTCGGGCGTTCTGGAACCAGACCTAGAACCGTTCCACGGGAAGGAAAGGAAGGAAAGAAAGAAAGAAAGAATGAACTCAGGTGAGAATACACACCCAAGGCCGAAGCTTGTCCACCCCAAGGATTAAAATGCCCCGACGCAAACGGAGCGACGTGGGAGATGCAGTACAATGCAGTGAGCGGTGTGCAGCTCTGTACCTTCACAACCGCTTCACAAACGCACGGTGCAACAGAGGAGAACAAACCCACCAGGACAAGATTCAGCCGTCCAACATCTGCATTTAAAAGACAAAGGCCGCTTTTTCGAAGGCCACATTTTGGACAGAGAGGACTGCTGCTTTGAAAGAGGGGTCAAAAAGGCCACCTAGGTCAAAATTGAACAGCCCCTCCCTCAACAGAGAGGGAGGGGTAGGACATCGTCTATCTCCACTCTACAACACGATCCTTTCAGCGGTTCCAAGAAGGCTCCACGCCCATTTGCGCCACTCAGGGAACAGATAAACCTCCAAGAGGCCTGGATGATTCTCAGAAAGAGCACAAATGACCAGCTCTCTGTCAGGAGTATAAATCCTTCCCTTCCCCACCATTCAGTCAGAACCGGAAGAAGCTTCTGGGATGAGAAGCGAAACGTCTTCGGAGGAAAAACAAGAAAGTCCCAGTCGCTTCCTGGAAAAAGCACCTTTGGGTCAAGGCAGGTGGGTGAGGGGATTCTTTAAAACATCTCCCATTCCCAGTACGGATCGATTGGCACTGGGGCCGTCCAGCGGATCGTCTTGATTTATTTAGCGCATGGCTTATCACACATACAGGTGGTCCTCAACTCACAACAATTTGTTTTCATGACTGTTCGGAGTTACAGCAGCACTAAAAATGGCAACCTACAACCGTTTTTCACAGTTACGGCCATTGCAGCACCCCTGTTATCATGTGATCAAAACTCAAGAGGTTTGGCAACTGATTCATATTTATGACTGTTGCAGCATCCCAGGGGGGTGTCATGTGATCCCCTTTTGCGACATTCTGACAAGCAAAGTCCATGGGAGAAGCAGGATTCACTTAACAACCAGGTGAGTAACTTATCAACTCAAAGCATTCACTTGACAACGGAGGCAAGGAAGGTGGTCAAATGGGGCCCAATCCACTTAACAAGGGTCTGGGCCGGTATCTGCCCTCAGCTTACGACCGGTCATGATGTGATCTGCAGTCTTGACCTAGGACCCCACAGTCAAACTGAGGGGAGGACGCTATGCCCCATTTATACAGGTGGTCCTCGACTTAGGACCACAATTGAACCTAAAATTTCTGTTGTTAAGTGAGACATTTGTTTTGCCCCGTTTTACGATTTTACAGTTGTAAACTGAATCACTGCAGTTGTTACGTTAGTCACACAATTGTTAATAGAAGGGAAGATAGAATGGAATGGAATGGAATGGAATGGAATGGAATGGAATGGAAGAGAAGAGAAGAGAAGAGAAGAGAAGAGAAGAGAATAATAAGAAATAAGAATAGAATAGAAAAGAGAATACAAAAGAGAAAAGAAAAGAAAAGAAAAGATAAAATAGAATAGAATTATAAGAAATAAGAATAGAATAGAATAGAATAGATAGAATAGAATAGAATAGAATAGAATAGAATAGAATAGAATAGAATAACAGAGTTGGAAGGGATCTTGGAGGTCTTCTAGTCCAACCCCTGCTCAGGCAGGGAAGCCTTATACCATTTCAGACAAATGGCTGTCCAATCTCTTCTTAAAAACTTCCACAACATCTGGAGGCAAGTCCTTCCACTGGTTAATTGTTCTAACTGTCAGGAAACAGTGCCATTGTAATTTTGAACGGTCACTAAGCAAAGTGTCGTAACTCAAGGACTAGCTGTACAGAGACTCCCTCCCAACTGATGACAGTTGGTCTTGAACCCCAAGTGCTTCAGAGCATCATTAAAAGCAAAAGTACAGATTTGTTAATGTGATCAACATACAGATGAATGTGCTACTTATTTGTTTTTCAAGTCTTAATTTCTTGAACAACCCCGTAACTACCAACGCACCGTAAATAGTTATGGTCTCACCGGTACCCTTAAAAAGCCTTCTTTAACCTGGTGGACCTCCATAGAGACCTCTCAATGTCTCTGGGACTATCCTGGTTGGGAACTCTGGGAAATGTCACCCCAAAACATCAGGAAGGCACCCGAACAGTTGAGTACGTTGATAGGGTTTTATTGACTGGCTCTCTGGAGAATTTCACTGGATTTTTTTTGGGACTTCCTTCAAGGTTAAGATGAAGTCTTTCTCTTGGTGAAAGATTCTTGGCCAGGATAAAGATCTGATTTGTTTTTCAATGCCTTCATTCAGGTATGTCTCTTCTTTATTTCCCAGTTTGGCTCAGAGCTTGGGGACTCCCAGTTCTCTCCCAACAAATTGTATATTTTATATTTGAGACATTAAATTTCTATTCTGCCCTCCTCATTATCCGAAGCAGGGGTCTTCAAACGTGGCCCTTTTATGACGTGTAGACTTCAACTCCCAGAATTCCACATGTCATAAAAGGGTCACGTTTGAAGACCCATGATCCAAAGCAACTCTGGGTTCAAATACTGGGCAGCTGATCCGATGACTTTATAAACTACCGAACAGTGTGAAATCATATATATTTGTGTGTGTGTGTGTGTGTGTGTGTGTGTGTGTGTAGGGCAGTGAGATACTAAAAGGGAATAGATGACACCAGATGTCACCCAGGTGAACAATTTTTCCTCTCCTTCTTGTGCCGTTCGTCGATATTTAAATATTAATATTCGTTTCTTTACGATCGGGCCACAGATCGTTTTAAAAGGACTGCTAGCCTTACGTGCCAAGATAAATTATTAATACTTCTAAAATAATAACACCGGGGGGGGGGGAAGAATCATATTTAATGTCTGGAGCAGCACAGAGGAATGTTAAGGATATGGATCCAATTTTATGTGGTTATTAATAATAGAAGCCCTACGAGTTGCATCTTCGACGCCTTTCTTTTCCAGGCATTTACCAGCTCCGGAATAAGGATTTTTAAATAAATACAGTATGTAAGTCTGTTGCTAAGTGGGACATTTGCTAAGCCAGCATGCCCCATTGTACGACCTTTTACGAGTTGTTAAGTGAATTGCTGCCGTTGTTAAGTGAGTCGCTTGGTTGTGAAGCGAATCCGGCTTTGACTTTGCTTGCCAGAAGCTCGCAAAAAGGGATCACGTGACTCCCCCGGGACGCTGCGACCATCATAAATATGGACCAGCGTCTGAATTTGGTCACGTGACCGTGGTGGGTGGGGGGGAACGCTGCAACGGTCGCCAGTGTGAAAAATGACTTTTTTCTGTGCCCTTGTAACTTGGGACGGTCACTAAACGAACGGTTGTAAATGGAGGACTAGGTGTACACGGCTTAGGCAGGAAGGAATGAAACGGAAGGAGTGGGGGGGAAATAAATCCCCGCTTTGACTTCTGATGTCTATAGGAAGATCGCAAGAGGTTTTCTGCTTTCTGCTCCGTCGGCCAAAGGTGGAATAAAACAATTTTAGGGGTGAATGAATCCTTGGCTTCAGAAAATTCCATTTTTTTTTCCCCCAGCAGGAAGACATGATAGGTCAGTAGGGAATTTTGTGGAGAAATCAAAACAAAACTGTATGACTTTCATACTTTTTTAAAAAAAAATATCAAAAAAAGGGCCGCCAGAGATTCTTTCTGGATTTTCTTTGCAGCAGAAAAGGGAATTTGGAAGTTAATGACAGGGAAGGAAGGAAGGAAGGAAGGAAGGAAGGAAGGAAGGAAGGAAGGAAGGAAGGAAGGAAGGAAGGAAGGAAGGAAGGAAGGAAGGAAGGAAGGAAGGAAGGAAGGAGAGAACCAGTCCTATAAACTATCTTGTTTTTAGTTGCACATCTTTCCAGCAGCAATGCAAACTTTCGTTGCATATCTTTCCAGCAGCAATGCAAACTTTCGTTGCATATCTTTCCAGCAGCAATGCAAACTTTCGTTGCATATCTTTCCAGCAGCAATGCAAACTTTCATTGCATATCTTTTCAGCAGCAATGCGCGGGGGGGGGGAATCTGTTATTACTCAATCCACCACTTCCATTGCGCTGATTCCCCCATTGGGACCCCAAGCCGACTGGCCCAGCCAGGGCTTTAGGCTCTTATGAAAAGATAGGAGGGTTGAGGGCCCACCTCACATCAGGAGGGTGGGGGCAAGATGTTCCAGAGGGTGGGGCCACAGCAGAGAAGGCCCTCCTCCTCTTGGAGCCCGCCCCCCAGCAGCCGAAATAAGCGGGCTGATGGGAGCCACAGCAGGCCTCCTCTGCCAGCACGGGTGGCAGGGTCCAATCCCAGTGGGACCTGGACCCCTCCCACAAAGGGCTTTAAAGGGGACCACCGACACCTTGAATTGCACCCGGAAGCAGACTGGTACCCAAAGCAGCTCGGGGGGCAATGATGCTACAGGGGCCATTCTTGGGGACCCCAAAACTACCCGCCCTGCTGCCCTCTGCACCAGCTGTGGCTTCTGAATGGTCTTCAAGGGCAGCCCCATGCAGAGTGCAATACAGTAGTCCAGTCGTGAGAAGACTAGGGGCTGAATGACTGAGGGCAGAGGGTTCTTGTCCAGGAAATATTGCTTTCTAAAGCCACCTGATCACCACCTCCTTCAGCAATGCACCATACAGAGAAAGCCAAGATTTCCCACTATCCAGGTTCCGGGAAGATCCCAGATTCCAGTATTTCAAAAGAAGAAGTTCTAAACCACAAACTTGGTTTGGTTGACATATGATGGGAACCCAGCCCACAGCAAGCCATTAGTATGCAAAGATGATTCGTAAACGAGAAAGAGGGCAGAGAAGAGCAACAAAGATGATCAGGGGACTGGAGGCTAAAACATATGACGAACAGTTGTGGTACTTGGGTTTGGCTAGTCTAAAGAAAAGAAGAAATAGGGGGGACATGATAACAATCTTCCAGTATCTCAGGGGCTGCCCCAAAGAAGGGGGGGGAGTCAAGCTATTCTCCGAAGCCCCTGAAGGCAGGACAAGAAGCAACGGATGGAAACTAATCAAGGAGAGAAGCAATCTGGAACTAAGGAGGAATGTCCTGGCAGTGAGAACAATTAACCAGTGGAACTATCTGCCTCCAGAAGCTGTGAATGCTTCAACACTGGAAGTTTTTAAGAAGAGACCGGACAGCCATTTGTCTGAAATGGTATAGGGCAGTGGTGGCGAACCTATGGCACAGGTGCCAGAGGCGGCACTCAGAGCCCTTTCTGTGGGCACGCGCACCGTCGCCCCAGTCCTAGGCCTTCAGCTGGGTTTTATAAAACCTTTTTGCTTTAGGCCTCCGGTGACGGGTGCAAAAAAAAAAAGAAGGTTCAATCAATCAGTCCATTTTAATTTCTCGCAGGAAAAAAAAAAGATCTTGCAAAGTTGGAATTGATTGACTGAACTTTTTAGTTCTACCCTGTCTGCTGTTACCACCGCAGCCACGCCCACCCAATGGGCCATACCCACCCGGCACCCGATGATGCAGTTTGGGCACTCAATCTCTAAAAGGTTCGCCATCACTGGTATAGGGCTTCCTGCCTGAGCAGAGGGTTGGACTTGATGACCTCCAAGGTCCCTTCCAACTCTGTTATCCTATCCTATCCTATCCTAATCTATCCTATCCTAATCTATCCTATCCTATCCTATCCTATCCTATCCTATCCTATTCTATTTTATTCTATTTTTTCTGTTCTGTTCTGTTCTGTTCTATTCCTTAATTCTATTCTGTTCCCTAATTCTATTCTGTTCCTTAATTCTGCTCTGTTCTGTTCCAAACTATAGCTCAGTGCAAGGTGGGGATGAGCTTCCTTTGAAGAAGATCTCAAGTGGATCGCTCTGCCCAAAACTCTTGAGGATTATCTGCAAGAAGATTAATTCAGGCTGATTAAGAGGCGCCCCCAGATTAAACGACTTCATTTGTACAACGCAAAGGGGAGACTACGTTTTAAACTTCCGAATTGTGTAAGATTCCTTTAACCACAGGTAGGTTAAAGCTGATGGAAGTCGGAACGGACTTGAAAACCTTTGAGTGACTTGTCGATCGAGGTGGCAAATATTTGTAAACCTTTCCCCCAAATCAGCACTTGCAGAAGCCATGGGGTAAAATCCCCATTTCTTCACCACCAGCCTTCTGTTCACGTTTTGAGGATCTCAGCTTTCCAGGATTCATCACCGTTGGTCAGAGGATCGTCAAAATGTGTCAGAATTCAACAGACTTTTGTCAACGTAGCTGCTAGGCAAAAACACAAAAAAAAGGGGCGAGGGTTTCCTCAGCAAAAGAGGCACACTTGGCTTTTGAGAGTATGCTGAGGGTCTGCCATCATCCCCAAAACACCCCAAAAACTGGACAGAACCAGCCAAAGGACCTCAGAAAGGAGCTCCTCTTTCCACCTCTCCAGCAAAGTTCTCTTCTTGCTTCTCCAGGTAGTTTATTTCATCGCTGAACAGTTTTTCACTGCTGAAAGGTCTTCCTGATGCCCAACCAAAATTATCCTACTTGAAATCCGTTGGTTTTTGCCCTGTTATCTAGAATAGAATGGAATGGAATGGAATGGAATAGAATAAAATAGAATAGAAAATAGAAAATAGAAAATAGAAAATAGAAAATAGAATGGAATGGAATAGAATAGAATAGAATAGAATAGAATAGAATAGAATAGAATAGAATAGAATAGAATAGAATAGAATAGAATAGAATAGAATAGAAAATAGAAAATAGAAAATGGAATGGAATGGAATAGAATAGAATAGAATAGAATAGAATAGAATAGAATAGAATAGAATAGAATAGAATAGAATAGAATCTGGAAGGGACTTTGGAGGTCTTCTAGTCCAGCCCCCTGCTCAAGCAGGAGAAGCTATACCATTTCACATACATGTCTAGTCTCTTCTTAAAAACCTCCATTGATGGAGCGCCCATAATTTCTGGTGGCAAGCTGTTCCACTGGCTAATTGTCCTCACTGTCAGGATGTTTCTCCTTCATTCCAGGTTGCTTCTCTCCTTGATTAATTTCCATCTGTTTTTTCTTGTCCTGCCCTCTGGTGCTTTGGAGAACAACTTGACCCTTCCTCTTCTTTGTGGCAGCCCCTCAAATACTGGAACGCTGCTATCATGTCCCCCCTATTTCTTCTTTTCTTTAGACTGGCCAAGCCCAAGTCCTGCAGCCGTTCTTCAACTCGGAACAATTCTACAGATCTGTGAATTTCATTCCTGCTTTTTTTAAAAGTTGTTGTTGTTATAAACAAAACAGCCAGGTCAGCTGATCATTTCATGACCAGGTTCACGTTCAATTGCTCTTCTCGGAACTTTTTCCAAACTCTCAACATCTTTTTTGTGATATGGCGACCAAAACTGGCTACAGTATTCCAGGTGTGGTCTTACTAGGGCTTTATAAAGGGGTAATAATACTTCTCCAGCTCTGTTATGCTGTTTACATCGCATTAAGGAATCCCTGGCTTTGCCAAAGTTGGTTCTTCAAAAACAAAATTACTTTGCAGAGCGCAGCATTCAAGACCACCACAGAGGCAAGTTGACCCAGCTGAAGTCCCATTGTTGATCACATCAGTGCTCTATCAGTGAGAACAACGGCTGCTTTCTCCTCCAACATTTGATAGGTGACGATGGACATTCTCAGTCATCGAGGTCATGGTTGTCCCAAAGGTGCTTTTTCATTGGACTTCCTTGTTTTTCTTTGAAGACGTTTCACTTCTCATCCAAGAATCTTCTTCATCTCTGACTGGATGGTGGGAAGTGGAAGGATTTATACTCCTTGAGGTACCAAGATGGCTCCACACCCATTTGCAACACTCAGGGTACCCCGAGGACACAGTTCATCTCCAGGTGGCCTCAAGGACCCTCTAAAACAATGGTTCTCAACCTGTGGGTCGGGACCCCATTTGGGATCGAACGACCATTTCACGGGGTTTGCCAAACAACGCTGTCCGCCATTTTTTTCCCCTTTTCCTTAGCTGTGCTACTCCCTTTTATTCTATTGGCTTTTGAAAGCCAATAGAATAGACTCTCTTGAATAGAGTCTAATTCTATTGGCTTTCCAAAGCCAATAGGAATTGTCCAGGCTGTCTCTGCCCTGCTGAGCCTGCCAAAAGTCCCATTCTGCCAACGGTGCTGCACCAGTTGAGTAGTCCTCGACTTACGACCGGTTGAGTAGTCCTCGACTTACGACCGGTTGAGGGGTCGCGGCATTAAAAAGGTTGAGAACCACTGCTCTAAAAGGATGCGAATGACCAGCGGTCTGCAAGGAGTATCAGTCCTTCCATCCTCCACCATCCAGTCAGAGCTGAAGAAGCTCCTCAGAGGAGGAGAGAAATGTCTTCAAAGAAAAACAAGAAAATCCGGTTGCCTCGTGAAAAAGCCCCTTTGGGATCTTTGATAGAGATAATGCAAGGCCGGTATTTCCAACATATCTCCCTGTCCATCCTCGCTGTCTCGGGGAAGAAGCCAAATTTGGTTGGAGTTATCTCAGGGACTGCTGTTGAGTTATCTCAACCCTGACTGCTCTTTAGAAGGCCAGATCCTGAAGTTGAAACTCAACTACTTTGGCCACCTAAAGAGAAGGAAGGACTCACTGGAGAAGAGCCTGATGCTGGGAAAGATGGAGGTCAAGAGAAGAAGGGGACGACAGAGAAGGAGGTGGCTGGATGGAGTCCCTGAAGCAGGAGGTGTGAACTTAAATGGACTCCAGAAGATGGCAGAGGACAGGAAGACCTGGAGGAACGTTGTCCATGGGGTCGCGATGGGTTGGACACGACTCCGCAATTAACAACAACAACATCTCAGGGACTTTCAACTCCTAGAATTCTCCAGCCAGAATGGAATTCTAGGAGTTGACGTTCGCCCGCCTTCACTCTACAGGGTTGTGAAACACGGCCGTAGCTTGCTGGGCATCCTATCCGTCAGCGGGGAGACAGCTGTACCTCTGGCCGATGACCCCTGCTCCACTTTGAGGCCGTCCAATCACTTACCTGGAGCACCCTTTTGGTTAAACCCGTTTTTTGCGCGAGCTGCTTCAAGTCCTTGGCATCTGGGTTGTGATTAATAGCAAAATAGGATTTCATTGTCCGCAGCTGGTGGTGTTTGAAGGAGGTCCTCATGCGTTTGGTCTTCTGGTTGCTGGGGTAGTGCTGGTCCCGATCCAGGGGGCTGCTGTCGTTCTCGTTGCAGCTCAGGGCTAGGGGCACAAAGGTGGGGAAGAGACGGTCAGCGCAATGTCCAGGGGAAAGACCCCCATCTGCTCTCCTCCTCAACCGTCAAAGGAGGCATCGCTTGGGCACATCCAACCATGGCACCGCTGAGCATATGGCCCAGAAGGAACCTAGCAGTTTGGTCGAATGGTGAAGGAACCAGGCTAGAAACCAGGAGACGGTGAGTTCTAGTCCCGCCTTAGCCATGAAAGCCAGCTGGGTGACTTTGGACCAATCACCAGGAGATGGTGAGTTCTAGTCCCGCCTTAGGCATGACAGCCAGCTGGGTGACTATGGACCAATCACCAGGTGACGGTGAGTTCTAGACCAGTGGTTCTCAACCTGTGGGTCGGGACCCCATTTGAGGTCGAACGACCATTTCACGGGGGTCGCCAAACAACGCAGTCCGCCATTTTCCCCCCCTTTTCCTTAGCTGTGCTACTCCCTTTTATTCTATTGGCTTTTGAAAGCCAATAGAAGAGACTCTCTTGAATAGAGTCTAATTCTATTGGCTTTCAAAAGCCAGTAGGAATTGTCCAGGCTGTCTTTTCCCTGCTGAGCCCGCCAAAAGCCCCATTCTGCAAACGGTGCTGCACCCGTTGAGTAGTCCTCGACTTACGACCGGTTGAGTAGTCCTCAACTTACAACTGGTTGGGGGTTGTGGCATTAAAAAGGTTGAGAATCACTATTCTAGACCCACCTTAGCCATGAAAGCCAGCTGGGTGTCTTTGGACCAATCACCAGGAGACGGTGAGTTCTAGTTCCGCCTTAGGCATGACAGCCAGCTAGGTGACTTTGGACCAATCACCAGGAGAGGATGACTTCTAGTCCCGCCTTAGGCCTGACAGCCAGCTGGGTGACTTTGGGCCAATCGCCAGGAGACGGTGAGTTCTAGTCCCGCCTTAGGCATGACAGCCAGCTGGGTGACTGTGGGCCGGCTCCTTTCTCTCTCTCTGCCAAGCCCACCTCAAAGGATTGTTGTTGTAGGGAAAACAGGAGGAGGAAGGAGTGTTACATACGTTCACCACCTCGGGTTAACCTTGAATTACAGGCCATCCTCGACTTACAACAGTTCATTTAGTGACCGTTCAGAGTTACAACTGAGAAAAGTGACTTAGGACCAATTTTCACACGTACGAGCTTTGTAGCACCGCCCCCCCCCTGTGATCGTGTGATCAAAACTGAGACGCTTGGCAACTGACTCGTATTTATGACGGTTGCAGCAAAGTCAAGGGGAGGGAAGCCAGATTTCCCTTAACCACCGTGCCACAACTTAACAACTTGCTGTGTTTCGCTCCACGGCGATGGCCGAGAAAGGTCGCAAAATGGGGCAAAACTCACTTAACAAACGTCTCGCTTAACGACGGAAATTTTGGGGGGGCTGGATGGTGGCCACCTGCCAAGGACGCTCTGTGTTTCTAAAAACGATGCAAACACAACATAAATATGACAAAATAAATAAATGGCGAAGAAATCCGCAAGACAATACCTATCCCTTTCTCCCGAGACCCCATCCAAGCCTGTTGTCGCATCGCAGGGCGTTTAAACCCAGATTCTCACACTCGCACAGGATCTCAGCTTGCTTCCTTTACAAAGTGAGCTGGGAAGGGGGGGGGTGGTCGGGGGGGGGGCTGGAGGGAAAGAGGCCTCTTGCTTTCTGCCACCGGGTTTAATGCATTTGCATCTTCAGTTGCTCTCTCTCTCTCTCTCTCACACACACACACACACACACACATACAGAGACAAAAACACAACACAGAGCCTCATGCCAATCTTCCACTTGCTTCTGCCTTTCCAGACCGGGAGAAGAAAAGAACGGCTTTGCAAAAAAAGAAAAAAAGAAATGTTTTTAACGCACTTCAAATTGTTCAGTGGCATGGCACAGCTGCAAAGCCCCAAGTCCACTCCAACCTCAATAGGGGGGACAAAAAAAAAACCCATTCAAAAACCTCTTCCAGTTCCCCCTGCAGAATAAGAAAGCAGCCCATTAACTAACTTAAAGGACTGCTTAAAAGAAAGGAAGGAGGGAGGGAGGGAGGGAGGGAGGGGGGAGCCCTGGCCAGGATGGGGAGGGGTGCAGGAGGATGTGCCCACCTGACCGAAAAACTCACCTACGATTTAAGGGGAGAATAGAGCAGAAAGTTGGATCTGCGTCAGTGAGCCAGACAAAAACTCGCAAGGAACGCTCTTGTCTTTGGCAGGCCATTAAAAAAAAATCCAAAGTGCTTTTTTTAAAACAAAAAACAAAAAAAAACAAAACAATAATAATAATCTGGGTCTGAGTTTATTTTCTCTCTCTCTCCAACCCCCTCCACTGACTAAATGCAATTTAATCACAGCCGCCCTCAACAAACAAAATGAAACCCTTGCACAGAATTAAAGGGCCGTGTCGGTCGCTAACTCAAACCCCTCCAGTTTGCAAAGCGAGTTTAAATTAATACATACAGTAACTATGGACCCACCTCACCCCGAAGCTGTTTTTATAGCTTTTAAGTACTGCAACAGTCTTTTGGGGTAGCAAAACAGGAAGGAAACTTGTTCTTCTTGGATGGGACAACGCCGCAGAACTAAATTTTCCACAACTTCCTGTCTGTTTTCCAGATTTTTGAAACAACTAGGGGGGGACACCCAGTTGGATTCACTCCCTGGATAATTATTTACTCGTTCTATCAAAATGACTAAAAACGCAGGAGAGAGAGAGAGAGAGAGAGAGAGAGAGAGAGAGAGAGAGAGAGAGAGAGAGAGAGAGAGAGAAATATCTCTCGTGGGGGTGCTAACGTGTGAATTATCGATTCAGCTGTCTCGACATATCTGCACAGGCTTTTAAAACTGCCCTTCATCCGATTATCAAATCTACTTTTGACAGGGACCCGCAGGCAGGCTGGTACGGCTAAGTCAGCTGCAGATCCTAAAGTCTTTTTCGTTTTTATTTTTTATTTTGGGGAAATTCTGAATTAAACCCGGCTCCCAAATTCACATGTCAGAATCAGCGATTGGCCCCTCAGCGGCTCAGGCACTCCCAAAATAGCAGAGTGCTTCCGGAATGGGTAGAAATCAAAATTGTCCTCTCAAAAGTGACCCACGATGCATAGCACAGCACTTTTGAACAGGCTCCGTCTTTGCCTGGAAAAGGCCGCATGTACTCAAAAGAAGCGGAATAACACATATAAACAGAGCGATGAATTAGGATGCAATGATGGCCCATCACAGAGAGGGATCGTGGCTAACACAAGGGGCAAACCCTAGACCAGTGGTTCTCAACCTGTGGGTCGGGACCCCATTTGGGGTCGAACGACCATTTCACGGGGGTCGCCAAACAAGGCTGTCCGCCATTTTTTTCCCCTTTTCTTTAGCCATGCCCCTGGCACCCGGTGATGCATAAGTGGTTGGGGGTCACCACAACATGGGGAACTATATTATGGGGTCTCGGCATTAGAAAGGTTGAGAACCACTGCCCTAGATAGGCCCATGTACTCAAAAGAAAATAACACATATAAACAGAGCGATGAATTAGGACAGTGGTTCTCAACCTTTCTAATGCCGCGACCCCATAATACAGTTCCCCATGTTGTGATGACCCCCAACCACTTATACGTCACCGGGTGCCAGGGGTGAGGCCAAAGAAAAGGGGGGAAAAATGGCAGACAGCCTTGTTTGGTGACCCCCATGAAATGGTCGTTCGACCCCAAATGGGGTCCCGACCCACAGGTTGAGAACCACTGAATTAGGACATAATGCTGGGCCATCACAGAGAGGGATCGTGGCTAACACAAGGGGCAAACCCTAGATAGGCCCATCTACTCAAAAGAAGAATAACACATATAAACAGAGCGATGAATTAGGACGTAATGCTGGGCCACCACAGAGAAGGATATGATACGAAAAGAACGGGGTGACTCTGGATGACCACAGGTGCGGTAGGAAGTGACCCATCTAAAGTCAGACTAATCGTCCCACCAAGAAGTCCCCTGCAAGCCGTTTGTATGTCCTACACCACCCCTGAGGCGTCTCACAACTTTGAATCCGTTCTCAGGGTCCTTGCCCTCTTGATTGAGGAGCGGGCAAAAAATGAATTCCCTTTTCCGTTCTCTGCCAGCCAGCCGCCTGTCAGAAAATCCCTAGCCCAAACCTATTGTCAATGGCCGAACACAAACTTTCAGCCAGCCAGGAAAACTTCCAGGGAGTATCCCCATTTATGTTGTGTGTGTTGCGTTGAAGGAATGTGTTTTGTTTGGCGCGAAGGCTGAGCTGGGGGAAGGACGCAGCCCCTTTCCGGATTAGTTAAGATGATTTTTGTCGGTGGCTGAAACCAAGTCTTTTCTCTGGCCCGCAGGCGGCTGATGCCGCTGTGTCGCACAATGTTCATAAACACTCCCTGGGGACAGTGGCTCTAGAGAGGTGCCTGTGTTTTCCTGCGAGTGTGCACAGCGCACACCAAATGAGGGAACGTTCATGCAAATCTAAAGGAAGAAGGGAGGGTGTCTCGGGCGCTGCCCAGTCAGGATTTTATAAGTCCAGGAAGATTGATTAGACTAGTAGCTGGACTAGAAGTATTTAATTAAAATGTTTGAAGGACGGGCTGGGTAGCAGGAGAAGGAAACAACCAACCAACGGGGTGGAACAACAGCTTGCCTTCAGACGTTGTGGGAGCTTCATCGCTGGAAGCTTTCAAGAGGAGACTGGACTGCCATCTGTCAGAAATGCTGTAGGGTCTCCTGCTTGGGTGGGGGTGGACTAGATGACCTCCAAGGTCCCTTCCAACTCTGTTTTCTATTCTATTCTGCTCTATGCTCTACTCTACTCTATTCTATTCTATATTTTCTTTTTTTCTATTCTATACTTTGTTCTGTTCTGTTCTATTCTATACATTTTTCTATTCTTTTCTTTTTCTATTCTATTTTCTATTCTGTTCTATTCTATATTCTTTTTTCTATTCTATTCTATATTTATTCTATTCTGTTCTGTTCTATATTCTTTTCTTTTTCTA